ATTACACACGCATGCTCATTGCCAGGTTTTCTACAGGGTTGCTTGGTTTTTTTTCTTTTGATTTCTAACGACTCCTTACATAGTAGGGATGGGGACCCTTCACCCTAAATATTGGAACTCCTGTTCTGCTGGTTGTTGGTCCAGTTGGAGCACTAGCATTTTTAAAGTATATAATCAGTGTAGCCATCTTTGTTTGTGTCTCTCTCCTGGGTTCATACTGTGGTCGGATAGACATTCCGTGGTTCTTTTACCAGGTGCACGTCCGCACCTGCGCTGGGTGAACAGCATAGCTCTTTCTTTCACACAGTCTTGGCACATGACATCATCGGGCACCTGGCCAGCATGGCGTGTAGCAACACACCCGGGGGCTTGGGAAGCAAACGACTGGTCATGCTTCTCACGGGCATTTTCTGCACTGGGGCTGCTTCCCAGGAATAACTGTTTCTGTAAGGACAGAGCGAGAAGTGCTGGTGCAGAAGAGCAGGCCATGCCCTCTCCAAAGCCGGGCTGTATCACGCAGGTTGTGTTCACACTGACGGACAGTCCGTGGCATCGGCACTGCGCAGAGAGACAGGTTTGAATGAGAAGCTCTACAAAACGAGTGGGCAGCTTTTCTTCTCTCTCCTCTCTGTTTCCCCGTGGGAAGGAATGTTAGCGAGAGACTATAAAGCAGAAAACGTAGAAGGGCCTGAAAAATCATCTATTTTAATTAAAATGGGAAGTAAGGAGAGAATGTGAGACAATTGTACATGTTTTTATTCTTTTATCAACTATTTCTGGGCAGCGAATGTGTTGTGGGACTGTGACGGACAGCGGGAGATAAACTCCAGCTGCTCATCGTCTAGCTGGGAATGACAGCTAGACTGAAAAATAGAGAGAAACAAAGACTGGGTTTGGGGAAGGACCAAGGAGTGTGGGTGAGGCAGGAAAGCATTTTTCCTTTCTGAATTCTGCTACTTCATGCTTCCCCGACTTCTTATTGGAAATAGGAAGTGCACACTCCTCACTGAGAGCTGTGGGGAGAGAAAGCCTGGGTGGCTTTTCCATGTCAAAGGCAGAGTTTCAGAGGGAAAATCAGCCCCACTGGGTGTACCTGACACAGGAGGCTGTACCTGACGCAGGAGGCTGTACCTGACGCAAGAGGGTGTACCTGGCGCAGGAGGGTGTACCTGGTGCAGGAGGGTGTATCTGACCCAGGAGGGTGTATCTGACCGAGGCTGTACCTGACAGGAGGCTG